ATCTGGAGCTCTTTTTTATTTACCCACTTAGCTCTTGAAAGACATCCTGGCTTCCACATTTTGGCAGCTGTGAATAAACGCTGAGTTCAGGCTTTTGACATGAGCTGAGAAGGCCTTCCTCCTAGGACTGTAAGGGGAGGCGAGGGGTGGGGGGGAACAGTTTGAAGCCTGGAGGTTCAGGGCCACCCAAAGTCACCCAGCAAAAGCCAACTTGTCCTGGCACACGGGATCTAAACATATTTCATTTGGCCAGTAAGAAATGTTGCCCAAAGCTAGGCACCAATGGCTTGTGCCTGTAAAACCTAACTACTCAGGAGGCTGAGATCTGAGGATCATAGTTCACAGATAGCCCGGACAGGGAAAGTCTGTGAGACTCTTGTCTCTAATTAACCACCAAAAAGCTATGGCTGAAAGTGGTAGAGTGCTAACCTTGAGAAAAAGCTGTCTAAGCTGAGGTGCCCAGGACCAACCCTGGGGGACTGTGCTGCATTGAGTCTGGTGGGGTCCAAAAACCCCACAACAACCAGGTGCGGGTGACTCATGCCTGTAATCCTCACTACTCAGGAGGCTGAGATCTGAGGATCATGGTTCAAAGCCACCCTGGGAAGGAAAGTCCATGAAACTCTTATCTCCAATAAACCACCAGAAAACTGGAAGTGGTGCGGTGGCCCAGGTGGTAGAGTGCTAGCCTTGAGCTGAAGAGCTCAGGGACAGAGCCCAGGGCCAGAGTTCAAGCCCCACGACTGACAAAAAACAGAACAACAACAATAAAAACTTACAAGGACCCCCAACTCAGCACTGGCAGACTTGGGACTGCTGAGGCCCCAGGCTTAGTGCCACCTCTGGTCTCTCCTAGCTCTGAGCAGGGGAAGGGGGTTCCTATTCTGGGATCCCTGATTCCCCCAATGATTTGACCTTGGGTGTCTCCTCTAGCCTCCACTGACTTTAGGGTATGCAAACTGCCCCAAATTCCTTCACAGGAATTGTTAAGCCCAGTCTCCTCTCCTTTCTCTACAGCTGTATTGATTTTTTGTTCAGTGTTAACCAAAAGCAGGCTTGAAAGCTACCTCTGTGAAATTTCACTGGTTGGTTTTAGTCCAACATGGCAAACTGAATGAATGATTTCAAATGTTTACTCTGTAATCGATCATATTCCATCTGACCCACACCTCTTGGGATCCCAGAAAGGCTGGTTGGTCAGCCTGTAGGGCTTTTGTTCAAAATACTAATTTGCGGAGAGGAGGAAAGAGCAATGAATGCATGCCTACAATATATTTAGTTTTCCTTCCTTCCCTCCTTCCTTCCTTCCTTCCTTCTCTCCCTCCCTTTTTCCCTCCCTCCCTCTCTCTCTTTATTTCTTTGCTGGTCCTGGAGCTTAAACTCAGGGCCTCGGTGCTGTCATTTGAGCCTTTTCAAGCTCAAGCCTAGAGCTCTATCACGTGAGCCACAGTGCCACTTCTGGCTTTTTCTAAGTAGATTATTAGCAATAAGAGTCTCATGAACTTTTCTACCAGGGCTGGCTTCGAACCATAATCCTGAGATCTTACCTCCTGAATAGCTAGGATTATAGGTGTGAGCCACTGGCACCCGGCTCTTTTTATTTCTTCAAAAACAAGACAGAGTCTAGGATGGAATTCTCTGGAAGACTGTTATAGAACCTCTTTCAGGGTGCCCTCAACTCCTAATTCAATGTTTTTCAGGATGAGGTCTATGGACTGTAGTCACAGAATCATGTGGAATACCCAGGTATGCTGACACATACCTATAATCCCAGATTTTGGGAGGCTGAAACAGGAAGATCAAAGTTTGAGGCCAGTCTGGCCTACATAGTAAGACACCATGTGTCAAAAGCAACAACAGCCAGGAGCTGGTGATCCATGCCTGTAGCTACTCAGAAGGCTGAGATCTGAGGATCACAATTGGAAGCCAGACCAGGCAGGAAAGTGTATGACCTTTATCTACAATTAACCAGCAAAAAGTCAGAGGTGGAGCTGTGGCTCAAGTGGTAGAAGCTAGCCTTGAGCAAAAAAACTCAGGGACAGAAACCAGGCCTGGATTCTAGCCTTAGGACCAGCACATACAAACACACACACACAGCACACACAAACACACATACACACACACACACACACACACACACACACGAGACAAGGGACAGACAACAATTATGAAATAGGCTTTGTGGTTGGTAATTTTGCCCAATTTCTGTTTTGTAGGGCTCAATTTGAATTGCAGAAGCCAAAGATCCCTGTATCACAAGTACTAAAAGTTTCAGAATGACCTAGAACTTGATAAGTAGCCCAGGCTGGCCTCAAGTTCTCCATCCTCTCATTTCTGCCTCCTGATTGTGCTGGGATTACGGCATGTATCAACAGGTATGGTAACATGTCTAATAAAAGAAAATCAGGCCAGCGAGGTGCACTGCCTGTGGACCCATCCTGCTGAGGAGAAATAAGGGGTTCCATCCACAGGGTAGCCTCATCCAGGGGCACATCAGGGGGGACTCTAGGCTTCTGGAAAAGTCTCTGGGATAGAGACAGGAACAAGAGAAGATACAACTCCTGGTAAGAGCTGGCATGTGTGTGCACACTGATACTGTTCAGGTGGAGTGGGCCACACAACTCAGGCTCCTCCACAGGGTACAAGTCCTCCTTCCTCACCCAGCACAAACAGAAGAGCCAGTTAGAGGCACTGGAAGGTATTGATCTCAGGAAAAAAGCAGAATTGATCTGGGCTGGAGACAGACTTGCTGCCTTCAACCTCACAGACCCAGGGTGGTAATGGGTCCTGATAACCCGGATGTTCACTTTCTAGAGCTGGGTCAGGAGCACGAGGCCATACAGCTGATGAGCCACTGGGGCTTGGGGAGGGTGAGTGTCATGACCACAGATGAGCTAGGAAAACCACAGACAGCCCAGGCGCAGGCAGGCCCAGGGACACTCACCAGCAGAAGAGCCCGGCCACCACCGCCATCCAGGTGATGCAGCAGGAGCCTCGCTGCTTGCTCTGCACCCCATGGTCTTGCTGGCAGCAGCAAGTACACACCAGGTAAGTGGCAAGGAAGGCAAGATTCAGCCCCAGGCCCACGGCAGCCAGCAGCCCCAGGAACAGCAGGGACTGGAAGAGGGAAGGGCCGGGTCAGTTCTTGTCGTTGGCAGTGGGAGGCTGGCAGTAAGAGCAGGACAGACGCGGTATGTCTGCCATCCACTTCTGTCTCTAGGACCAATCTCAGTCTGAACACAGAGAGCTGGCACTTGGGCCTAGTGGGGTGCCCAGGAGAAAGAGTGGGTGGCCTTGGGGGTCACGAGGGGCTGCAGGGGCAGGAAAGCTGTGTATAGCTAGCTCAGATTTCTGGCTTGTAAACCTGGAGGAAGATAACTGATCAGGTCCAACCAGGACCACTTTTTCAGCTTTTTTTGCTTGAGGCTGGCACTCTACCACTAGAGCCACACATCTACTTCTGGATTTTTTTTTAAACTGGTTTATTGGAGATAAGAGCCTTTCAACTTTGTCTGCCTTGAGGACTGGCTTCAAAACCAGGATCCTCAGATCTCAGCCTCTTGAGTAGCTAGGATTACAACTATGAGCCACCAGAATCTGGCTGATGATATATTCTGAGACCAGCCTGAATGGTGAACTAGAGCAAGACTTATACAATTCGCCCTGGAACATAGACAGGAAGAGGCTGCAGAGGGCCAGAGCGTCCAGGGGCCTCAGGAGAAGACAGAGCTAGGGTAGGGTGCCCTGGGATTCAGACAGGTCAAGGGAAGGACACTGGCACATCAACTGTCTCACCGTGCCAGGCCATCCTATACCAAATGTGCCCATTTGGGTATAGGCCTATCCAGATTCCCAAAAGACCAGCTGGGGGTGGGGGTGGGGTGGGGGAGTGGGGAGAGAAACATCCTGTAAGGGATGGCCAACCCAGTACCAAGGGAAGCAGCCAACCAGGATCCTGAGGGGGCTGGAGAGGCCTTCTCAGGCCTCTAAGTATCTCACAGTCTTGTACTGGGAAAGGCTACGGTTTGTCGAGAGGTCTGGTTCTCCTCCTCCACTACCGTCTCAAGATAATCTCTTGATTTGGCCAGATGGACACCAGATGGCCCCTGGGGTTGAGAGCCAGCAGCTAGGGCTGGACGTGAGCGGCCAGTACTCCTTGCTTCTCCAGGACCCCCAACTAGAATGTTCCAGGCATGGGTTCGGACAGCCTGTGTCAGGGAATCTGTAGGCTGGGGGTGGCCATGAGCAGGGCAGGGATACCACAGGGCCCAGAGGTCTGTAGGGGAACAGGCCATGTGCCCAGACATGTGCAGGGAGATGGCCTGAGGTGAGTGGCTATGGTCTTTCCAGATGGGCAGAGCACAGTGGCACGGATACTCCTGGCTCCCCTTCCCGGTGTCCCCTCCCCCTCCCCCTGCAGGCTGCCCAGCCCTGTGAGGACCCAGGCAGGCCACTAGGGCCCCCGATGGGCTGCTCTGACGGTTGCCCTGGATGGATAGGCTTCTTAGTCTCAGGGACAGCTGGCAGAAGTGGCGAGGACAGCCAAAGAGGCCAGGTGGGTCAGCGCATGGTGGGTCAGCACACTGCGGGGCAACAGATGGATGTGACTTAGTCCAGGCTTCCCTGACTGTTGAAGAACTTGCTCCTGGGCTGGGAATATGGTTGAGTGGTACAGTGCTTGCCTAGCATGCATGCATGAAGCTCTAGGTTCACTTCCTCGGTACCACATAAATAGAAAAAGCCAGAAGTGGTGCTGTGGCTCAAGTGGTAGAGTGCTAGCCTTGAGCAAAAGCACTGGAAAAATAAATAAATAAACAAACAAATAGAACTTGTTCCCTCCCAGGAAGGCAGGAAGGAAGAGCCCCTGCACCCCAGAACAGGGCCACCATGGTCTTCAAGGTGTGGCAGGGGCTAGCAGCCACCAGTCTTCCTGTGCTTGGAGAGACCCCAGGTAGCTCCTGCCTGGTGACCTGTGCCTGCCGTCCCAATACTCGAGAGGCTGAAAAAGGGGGATCACAGTTAGAGGCTAGTCTGTCTACTTAGCAACACCCTGTTTCAACAAAATAAAATCAGAAATTCACAGACCTGGCCACCCTTTCACAGGCCCTGAGGCCCCACTATTAAAACCCAGGTATGCCTTCATAATGTACACTCCCTAGATACCAGTGGCTTACACCTGTAATTCTAGTTACTCAGGAAGCTGAGATCTGAAGATCCTGGTTCAAACCCAACCTAGGCATAAAAGTTCATGAGACTCTTATCTCCAATTAACCAGCAAAAATGCTGGAAGTAGAGCTGTGGCTCAAGTGGTAGAGTGCCCGTTTTAAGCAAAAAAAGCCAAAAAACAAAAAACAAGGGTGAGCGTAAGGCCCTTCAAGCCCAGTGCATATGCATGTGCAGGCTTACACTTACGTAAACATGTGTGTGCATGCATACACACACATACACACACAGCATCAGTAACAAAGCCAGGCACTGGTGGCTCATGTCTTTAATTTTAGCTACTCAGGAGACTGAGAACTGGAAGATTATGGGCAGTAAAGTTTGTTAGATTCTATCCCCCAAATAAGCAAAAATTTGTGCTGCAGGCATGGCTCAAGTGGTAGAGTATCAGCCTAACAAGCTAAAGGCCCTGAGTTCAAGTCCCTTTATTGCCAAAACAACAACAAAGAAGTAAGAAAATGGCAGGCAGACCGCCCTTGCAGAGCAGCAGACAAGATCCAGATTTCTAGACCTTTCCCGTTACTCTTCCAGTTTCCTCTAGTCCTACTCTGTCCCTTCATTCATAGGACAAAACAATAATAAAAACATGGGTTCGGGGGCTGGGAAGGTAGGTGACTCAGTGGTATAGTGCTTGCCTTGCATGCATGAGGCCCTGGGTTCAATTCCTTAGCACCACATAAGCAGAAAAAGCAGAAGTGGTGCTGTGGCTCAAGTGGTAGAGTGCTAGCCTTGAGCTTCTGAAGAGCTGAGGGACAGCACCCAGACCCAGAGTTCAGTCCCTGTGACGGGCAAAACAACAACAACAACAACATGGGTTTAACCATGCATCCCCACCTGGCCAGGAAAGATCCTTCCAGAAGTGGTCTAGATAAGACATGGAGGGTGCAGTTACTTCATTTCCACTAAGCCAGCCAAGTCCCCATGGTGGGTAGGCTCTGAGAAGCCTCCTGTAGTCTCTGACCCTCTGCAGTCCAGTCCTCTTCCACTTCTGCCCTGGACTTCGGTGGCCTGGGGCCTCTTCAGGCTGGACAGCTGGTCTCAATTAGGTCACTGATACAGCCCAGGCAGGAAGGCCAGGCCTGAGAAACCCACACCCAGCTTTTTTTTTTTTTTGTTAATCTGCTTGCTTTAGGACTCTTGTCTCCCAGGGGGAGGACTGGAGCAGGATGCTAGGGGTGTGTGGGACAGGGGCAGAGGAGGCAGGGTGAGGGAAGGGAAAAGAGAGGAAGGGGAGCTTGGAAGAGAGCAGTGGGCACCACACTAGCCACACTTGGTATCACCTACTGCTCCCCAGTAAGCAATTATTTTCCTGCCCCTAATTAACACTCAAGAGCACAAGGAGTGTGAGGGGCAGGGGAGGGAAGGGGAGAGAGAAAAGCTTGGCTGTGGGGGACATACCCCTTGTCCCCAGTCTCCAAGGTTTGTGGTTTGTCATTTGGCAATGGTGAACCCGTGGTAGGAAGCACCAGCCAGAACCCAAAACCTGGGAGCCATGACTACTGAGGCTGGGCTCCAAGGGGGGATGGTGGTCAACACTGGGTAGAAGTGAGGGGTGGGGGAAGCTGGGGTTCAGGAGCCCAGAGCACCCAGTCGGCCCACCAGGCATGACAGTCTGATGACCGTGACTCAATATGCGGCGAAATGGACTAGGGTCCTCTGGATCTCAGCTCTTTTCCCACATGCCTCACTACCTGCTCTCTCCTCCCCAGATCTGTCCCCCCCCCCCACTGGGGTCAGGCTTCTGTGCTCTATCTCCTCCTTACAGGCCCTTGGGACCCCTTGGGGAGCCTATGAACTCAATCCCCTCAAAGCAGCACAGGAATCCATCTGTCTAATTACACAAAGTAAGACACCTCCTTTTTTTGGGGTGCTGGACTGGAGTTTGAACTCAGGGCCTGAGCACCATCTCGCAGCATTTTTGCTTACGGCTGTCGCTCTACCACTTGAGCCACAGCTCTACTCCCAGCTTTTTGGTGGTAAATTAGAGCTAAGAATCTCACTTTTTCCTGCCCAGGCTGCCACTGAACTGTGATCCTCAGGTTTCAGCCTCCTGAGTAGCTAGGATTACAGGTGTGAACCACCAGCATCTGGAAAAACACCTCTTTCTACTTCCTAACTCACCCCTGAGAATAGCTGGCTACTTAGGACAGGGAGAGAGGAGCAGGAAGCCACTTCCTGTCTGCTGGCTCACAGCCCTCACTTGGAGCTCTTTGAAACAGGCACCATCTTTGTTTTTGGAGGTGACAAAATTGGGGCTGGAGGTCTGGGCTGTTTCTTTTCCAGATAGCACACCTGGTGGCCTGAAGCTGGACACCCACCCAGGCCACTGACCCTGTTTCTCCTTTTCCTCTGCTCTTCTGGCCTCTCCTGGCCCCAAGGCAATCTCCACTCCAGCCTGGGGAGGGTAGGGGGGAGGATGCAGGATAGGTGGCCTTCCTGGGGACTCAGGCTCCAGTTCACTGAGGAGAGGGGGAAAGGGAACAGACCACCATCAGAGAACAGGGGTGGGGGGTGTGGCTTTCACTGACCCCAAACACCCCAGAGGGTGAGGAGGTGCCTTGCTTTCTTAGTGAAATTCTGGGATGCAAACTTGGTCAGGTTCTTCAAGGCTCACCAGTAACCAGCTGCAAATCAGGTGACCACCTCTTCCCTCTCTGCTCTGTTCTTCTTAAGGCTCCATTTGCCTTCTAGGTCTCACACACAATCTAGACACTCTCCATGGCTGCTGGAGACTTGGAGGTATGTCCACAAACCTGCCTGTTTATTTGGTGTGTGTGCTGGTCCTAGGGCTTGAATTCAGGGGCTGGGAGCTGTCTTTGACCTTTATTGCTCATCCCACTTGAGACCCACCTCCACTTCCAGCTTTTTGTTGGTTAACTAGAGATAAAGCATCTCACAGACTTTCCTGCCCGCGCTGCCTTCAAACCACAATCTTCAGCTCTCAGCCTCCTCAGTAGCTAGGATTACCAGTGGAGCCACCAGTCTCAGACTGGTTTGGACATTTGAGGTACTGCCTGCAGCTCTTTCCTAGGGTGTGGTGCTAGGTCTAGGTTTGTGTTACCCAGTCCTTTGATGTGCTAAGGGAGTCTCTGTACAAGGCATGTTATGTGGAGCACTTCATTTCCTACTTATGAGGAGAGTAAGTCTCAGGGAAGTTAAGACAACAATGCATGGTCACACGGGAATAGAAGGAGCTCCTGCCCCAATGATTGGCTGCTGCAGAGCACTGCTCCCAAAGGCGGGCCCTAGAAACTCCCCAGTGGCTGTTCTCCAAGGCCCCATAGCCCAGAAACTCCCCAGTGGCCACTCCCCAAAGCCTTGTGGCCCTGGTTATCATGTTATCTGGGGCCTTGCATAATGCTAGGCCAAAATCAAGTTTGTAGTGGTGATAACAGGTGTCCAACTCAACTGGTGGACTACAGGCTGCCTGACTCTGGTAGTGACTGGTTGGTGCTCAGAGGGATAGGAGAAACCCATGGTCAGACAACAGGGGAACTAAATAAATTAGGAGTGGCCTTCAGTAACACCCAAAGCCAGATCACCTCCCTTTCAGTGCTAGGTCTCTACCCAGGATGGAATAGGGGTGGGGGCCTGGGCAGGAGCAGTGGCGTTGGAGGGGGCTGGAAGAGAGGGGTGGGGCTGTAAATGGATTCCCCTGGTTCAGCTGCCACTTGTCCCTGGCACTAGAGCAGGAGGGGCAGGCTCAGGCCCTCCAGCCACAGCTGCTGGCAATTTCCATCTGGAGGGTAAAGGGGGACCCCACTTGGATGGAGGGGGCGGTGGTCAGATTTTCTTCAGTAGAGATAAAGATATGGCTGGGATCCCGAGTGTGGGATCTGAGGCAAACCCCAACAACACAGCTGTCTCTGAAGTCACACCCGCTTTGCTTCACATATAAGCTGGGAGCGGAAGGTTCCCTGGGGGCAATCCCAGTCAGCAGCTCCTAGTTCCTGCAAGGGCAGGGCAGGCCCAGATGAGCAGCGATCTAAAGGAGCCAGGCCTGCCCACAGAGTTGCCTCCCCGTTATAGTGTCCCTAGCTACTCCAGAAGTCCATTCTCCCTCTCCCCAAAGGTCAGGCACCAATCACAGGGGTCTGAAGGCAGCAGAAGTTATTATTAGACTCCGGGTCACTGTCATTTGGGCAATGCACACGCTACCCAATCAGGATCCTTTGTGCCCTGAAGGAGGAAGGTCTGAGGAGGAAGAGGGGAGCTGGTGACTCCCAGCACAACCTCCACAGAGGCCTCAGCCCAACTGCCTCTCCTGAGGATCAGGAGATTGTGCCTTGCCATGGAATCAGGCAAAGGCCACTGGGGTTAAAGTCCTCCAATGGGCACTGAAAGCATCAGCCTGTCCTGGACTCAAGGGAGGGGGACTCAGAGGCCTGAGCCTAGACAGGCTTGACCACACCTGAGACAAGCCAAGAGACTGCAGCTGTCTGGAAGGGAGATTAGAGGCTGGCCTTGGGTTGGAAATCTGTATAGAAGGGAGAGCCCGGATGGACAGGCTGAAACACAAGGATGAGGAGAGTGGTCAAGACGACACCCCCCCCCCAATTCCAAGACCTAGCAGGTCTTGGGAGGGAAGGGAAGAGGGAGAGGGGTGGACAGCCCAGGTTCAAGGGAGGGCAAAGAGAGATTAGTTATCAGTATCAGCATCAGAGGGGGCTCAGGATGGTGGTGTGCAACCGGATGGGGAGGGGAGGGGGGACTGATCCCTGAAACAAACACCCGGGCTGAGGTTATCTGTGCGCAGGAGAGATGTCACCCCCCACCCCCATGCCTGCTCCAGCTTGGCAGATGGGACCCGGGCCCCCGGTCTTAACGGGGCGGGGGGGGGAGGAGAAGGAGGGGAGGCTTCGGACTCCGGAGACTCGTCACTTTCTGCCTCAACTTCTGGCCCCGAGTCTCCGAGAGCGTGGGGAGAACTTGGGGTGCCTTTAGCCGTCTCGGCACCTCCCTCGCGCGCCAGGTCCCCGGACCCCAGCGCCCCACCCCCGCCTGGCCCCGGCCGGGCGCCCGGCCGTCCCTTCCCAACGCCGCCCGTCCTCTCCTTCCCAACTCCGGCTTCGCTCGGATCTTTCCGATTTTCACGAAGCCCCAAGGTCCCCGGCCGGGGGGGGGGGAGACGCGGGGCCCGAGGTCCAGAGAAAGGAGAGAGGGGAGCAGAGGCCGGCGGGACGCAGCGCCGGTCCGAGGGGCGCAGGGGCGGCGCGGGGATCCGGGCGCGCGCGGCGGCTCGGAGGTCCGCGTCCGGGGCTCACCTCCTGGTAACTCGGGTCGCCGGGACGGAAGGTGCTGTCCACCGGCTGCAAGCGCAGCCCCAGGTGCGGGACGCTGTGCAGCCACACCACCCACCAGGGTGCGATGTACTCTACGCGCGCTGCCGGCATGGCTGGTCCCCAGGGCCGCGCGTCCGCTCGCCGCGGCTGCCGCTGTGGCTGCCACCGGCCCGGGACGCACGTCGGCCCCGCCCCGCCCGGCCGGCCAGCTCCGCCCCACCCGGCCAGCTCCGCCCCACCCGGCCAGCTCCTCCCCTCATTGGCTCCGCCCCCTCCTCAGCCACGTCCCTCAGTGGATCCTTCCTCATTGGCCCGCCCCAGATCAGACCCCGCCCCCCGGCTGCTCCCCTTCTCCACCTGGCCCCCTGGGCACTCCCACTGGCTCCAACCAAAACCCAGTCTCTAAGTCCCCAGGCTTCTTATTAATGACTTACTACAAAGTCAAGTCAAAGTAATCAAAGCGTCTATCGGTGTACTAGCAAGCAGGGTGGCCTGAGACTGGAGGGCTTGCTCTAAATCCGCTCTCCCCGATTCGAACCCGGGCCTTTCACAGCCCAGCACTCTATATTCCTAGCTCTTGAGTTTTGTTTGTTTGTTGAGACAGGAGTTATATGGTCTAGGCTGGCCTCCCAACTTGAAATCCTCCTGCCACTGCTTCCCAAGTGCTGGGATTACAGGTGTGCACCACAAGACCTGGATAAATTCATAATAGATGCTGGAGTAAATCGATAGTCTAGTTGTGAAGGAAAAGCTGATTTTTATTATGCAGTATATTAACTACAAGCACCCCAGCCACAGGAATTAGTGCCACATCAGGTCCCTAGTTCAATATCCTAGCTGAGGCCAGTATGGCCACCATCCTAGGCTGTTACATGCCCTTCCTTTCCCTTTCTGATTTTCCTCAAGGGGTAAGAAGAGCCCTGAGTGCACTTGTAAAGGGAGGGTGGGGTCTAGGCCAGACTAGATGAACTGGGTGAGGGGAAGAGTTCTGTGCAGTCTGATCAGATGAGGACCTGTGATCAGGGGATCAGCGTGAACAGGAGTGGGATTCCCCTGGAGTTTCCACAGCAGTGGAAAACTGGAGTGGGGGCAGTAGCAAGAAGACATTGGCCAACACCGGGAAGGGCCCACCTGGGGCTGCTTTCCTGGGACTAGGTGGCGGAGGGACTTTGGGGGTGATGGAAATGTCCTCACAAGTGGAGAAGTGGTTACACTTCTCTCAAGGATTTGTCAAAAATCAGAGCTAAGACTAGAACACAGAGCTTTTGCTTCCATGTGTTTAATTTTTTTTTTATTTTTTACTTCGCCAGGCACCGGTGTCTCATGCCTGTAATCCTTGGTACTCAGGAGGGTGAGATCTGAGGATCACAGTTCAAAGCCAGACCAGGCAGGAAAGTCTGTGAGACTCTTACCTCCAATTAACCACCAGAAAACTGGACGTGGTGCTTTGGCTCAAGTGGTAGAGTGCTAGCCTTGAGCTGAAGAGCTCAGGGACAGCACCCAGGCTGAGTTCAAGCCCTAAGACTGACCAAAAAAAAAATTATTGTTATTATAGAGGTTATGTACAGAGGGATTACAATTACATGAGTCAGGTAATGAGCACATTTCCTTACTGACAGTATCTTCTGTTCCCTCATTCTCTCCCAGCCCCTCCCTCCCATCTCCACCTGAGTTGTATAGTTGCCTTTCATCCATGTCCAGTGAGTTCCATGCTGCACTTTTTCACCCTTTTTCCCTTAGGTTCTGTACCCTCCCCACTACCCCCCCCCAAGATATACATTTGAGTATTCCATACATAAAGAAGACAAAATCATCAAAAACTAAAGCCTAGGTGTGAGAGCCCACAAATCCAAGCTGTGAGGCTCGGAAGGGATTGGGAATTTGAATGCCTTCTACCAATACACTCTCAGAATGCTGAGTTTTCCTGGAAAAAGTCATTCAGAACTGTGTGGGAGCCTAAGGTTTATGCAAATTATAGGCTGTTACTGTTTAGCTCTTTCCCAGAATAAGGTTACCTGCCACTTGTATACAAAATGTTGTCATATGTTGAAGTTTGTATCTTACTTCCTTGCACAAGACCAGTAAAAATCTTGGTTAATAGAACCCTGGGATCTGTTGCTGGCAGAGGGCTAAGGTTCCCCTGGTACCTCCAAACCTCATCACCCCCAAGTTTCATTGTCTGGTCTGCATTATTGTGTTGCTCCTGGTCATGGTGGATTAAGGAGCACATGGTGGGTTGCAACACTAGGGCTGGGAATGAGGCTTAGTGATAGAGTGCTTGCCTACCATGCATGAAGCCCTGGGTTTGATTCCTCAGTACCACATAAACAGAAAAAGTTGGAAGTGGCGCTGTGGCTCAAGTGGTAGAATGCTGGCCTTGAGCAAAAGAAGCGCAGGGACAATGCCCGAAGCACTCAAGCCCCAGAAAAAAAAAAAAAAAAAAAAAACACGCTGCACAGATGGCTCATGCCTGTAATCCCAGCTATTCAGGAGACAGAGCTGATTATCCCAGTTCAAAGCCAGGCTGGCATAACAACAAAAATGAACAAAGCAAAGATTTTGGGGCTGGGATTGTTTAGTACCTAGCATGCATTGAAGCAGTGGGTTCAATTCCTCAGTATCATATAAACAGAAAAGCCAGAAGAGGCACTGTGGCTCAAGTGGTAGGGTGCTAGTCTTGAGCAAAAGAAGTTCAAGGACAGTATCCAGGCCCTGAGTTCAAGCCCCAGGACTGGCAAATCAAAAACAAAAAGCAAACTTGTGTTCCCTATCTTAGAGTTCATTTCAGGATGTTATTACTTTATATAAATATGAACAGGCATTTAGGCAATTGCATCTTTTTCTCCTGAGTATATACTCCTTTGGTCTCATTGTATCTGGAATCCTGTGTATTTTACCATATCCTATTGCATTTTAGATTTAACTTCCACATATTGGAGAACATGCGCCATTTTTCTGATCTTGGCTTACCTCACTTCTAGCTCCATCTATTTCCCAGCCAATAACCTTTTCTTTTTTTGGGGGGGGGGTTGGTCGTGGGGCTTGAACTCTGGGCCTGGGCACTGTCCCTGTGCTCTTCAGCTCAGGGTGAGCTCTCTATCGCTTGAGCCACAGAGCTACTTCCAGTTTTCTAGTGGTTTATTGGAGATGACTCTCAGAGACTTTCCTGCCCAGGCTGGCTTTGAACTGCGATCCTCAGACTCCTGAGTAGCTAGGATTACAGGCATGAGCCACTGACACCTGGCTTGACATTCTTATTCTACTAGCTGTGTAAAATTCCACTGTGTATAAGTACATTTTTTGGATTACTCATCCATTGTGGGGTTGCATCTATATCTTGGCTATTATGAAAAGTATGGCAATGAACATGGATATGCAGGTGTCATCAAATCCTGGTTCATGATGTTCAGGGTAGATGCCTAAGCTGGGTTGTAGGGAAAATCCGTTTTTTTGAGTAACTTCCAGACTGCTGTCCAGAGTGGTTGTACTTGTTTACATTCCCACCAACAGTGCTGTACTCTAGGGTTCCTTTTTTGGAGCTACACCTCCAGTCCTCTTGACAAGGGAAGGGAGGTTGGTAAGCAAGGGTGAGATCACACCCACCAACAGGCTCTGGTGAGGTTCTAGGCTACTGCTGGTTGTTAGGGGATAGATGGAAGTTTCATGGATGGGTCAATACAATCCCTACCCTCATGGGGAATAACTGACCTGGCCAGCCACAGGCCACCTTCCCCTGGAATTGGAGAGGGGCTACCCCTGCTCCACCAGGCAAATGGCACTGGGAAGGCTGAGGCTCCTCCTCATCCTGTCACCACCACTCCATTTCATTTGACTGGTGAGGTCCTGGATTTCCATTTCCCTCCCAAGAGCTTAATGGCAGCTGGTAAACAGTGCCTGAGAAAAGACAGGGCAAGAAACCAGAAGTTTCTAAGGGGGGGGCAGCAGTGGGGATGGAGACTAAATGTAGTGCAGGGGAGCAGAGTAGGGGCTGGAGGCCAGAGCTATAGAAAGCTGTAGCCAGCCATCAAAACCTGCTGAGCTAGTTTGCAAACTGGGAGACAGGGTTCTAGCAGTTTCTATGAAAGCCAGCGGATCACTAGGTGAGCCAGGAAAGCAGAGGCTGATCAGGAACCAACCTCCCAGAGATGAGTCTGAAACCAGCAACTGTGGCCCATACTTTATCATGTACCTGAGGAGTAGCCTTTGGGTGTTCATTATAGCTAAGTGTTAGCAGCACCTGTATGCTCAAAACCATTTTACTCAGCTGTGCGATGGTGGCTCATGCCTGTAATCCTAGCTACTCAGAAAGCTGAGATCTGAAGTGGCACTGTAGCTCAAGTGGTAGAGCGCTCGCCTTGAGCTGAAGAGCTGAGGGACAGCGCCCAGGCCAAGTTCAAGCCCCACACTGACAAAAAAAAAAAGAAAGCTGAGATCTGAGTATTACAGTTCAAAGCCAGGCAGGGCAGTAAAATCTGTAAACCCATCTCTAATCACAAAGCTGAAAGTAGAGGTATGGCTCAACTGGTAGAGTACCAGCATTGAACACAAAAGCTCAAGGACAGTGCCCAGAATTGAAGCCCCTGGACCAGCACAAACAAGTGCACACACACCCCAAACACAAAACCGTCCTACCCAAGCACAATCTCTGGGCTCAGCCCTGACCCAAAGTGCACTTATAGGGTGAATAATGGTGCCTGAAAAGACTTTTCTGGCCCAGCCAGACAAATCCTACAGGGTCTCCTAGGAGCTGGACAAACATCTGGACAAAGAACTAGGGACAAAAGAACCAGAGCTGTCAACTCTCTTCCTAGGGAATCCTGTTCAAGGATACCATATTTCAGACTGTCATTATCTGCAAGCTGCTTGTGTACCAACCTCTACTGGGGTAAACAAAACCAATGGCTTCCCAGACACTCAGCAGATCCCACAAAATGACCTCACTCCCTTACAAACCCATCAAGATAAACCAAGTAGTGTTTCACTATTTTGGCAGTACTAGGGCTTGAACTCTAGGACCTTATTTGCCAGGCTCTCAACTGAACACTAGCCCCAACCCCCTTTGCTTGTTCAGGTTAAGGTCCATGGGGCCAGCCTAAACAGTAATTCTACCTTTGGCTTCCCAAGTAGCTGGGATTACAGGGGTACATACTTTTTTTTTTTGCCAGTCCTGGGGTTTGAACTAAGGACCTGGGCACTGTCCCTGAGCTTTTGTTCAAGGCTCACACTCTACCACTTGAGCCACTTCCTGCTTTTTCTATGTATGTGGTACTTAGGAATCCAACCCAGGGCTTCATGCATGCTAGGCAAGCACTCTAGCACTATGCCACATTCCCAACCCCATACCGTACTTCTTAAAAGCAGAGAAGGGGGGAAAGGAGACATCTTGAAAATGGAACTGAGTACAAACCATTCTCCAGATGGTTACTGGCTGTATTGTGACGCCACCTTGTGGCTCATCTCAACATACTCCACATGTTGACAGTGCCAGCAAAAGTTCAAAACTTAAGCTAATAGTTACTAGGTTTGGTTAATTTCCACATAATAGGACAAGAGGCAGAAACTAAGAGAGGAACAAGATCGGCTGGCCTCTCTATGTTGACCCTGGCCTTTGGGGGATGTGGAAGCAGCTGGCCCTCACCCCCTGCTGGCCAGGAGATTCCCACTGCCTTTGAGGCCTAGCTAAGATCCGCCAGGAAGGAGCCAGCCTCTGTCCCACACTATTCCACGGATGGGACAGACCCACTTCCCATTACTGCCTTCACTGACGCAAGCCCACTGCTCCATGCCCGTCGACCCCACTCATCTGTAACACCAATAAACTTCCTGCCTCCCACTGTATTCAGGATGACCTAGCCTGCAGCCTCCTAATACCTCCCCCCTCTTCAATTTTCATTGGCTTATTCTCCTGAAACCAGCTGTCTAGTCTCAGATGTGTGGGAGCATCTGGCTCCTCTCCCTGTTCCCATTATCAACTTACCTTCCAACAGGGACTGAGAAGACCCACTTTAGTTCTCCACTGAGACCCCAGCCCAAATTCCAGGCACAAGACACCCTCCCATCTCTAAAGACAAAGGACACGTAGGACTAACTTTTCAAGGTTTTAATGTACAGTTCAGATCTGTGTCTGGTTCATTTTAGCTCCTTCACCGCCAAACCTAGAAGGGGAGAAAAACAAAAAAGATGCTTTACTTGAATCTGTGTCTTCACAGGGAGCTTTCAGTTTAAATATCTTCAAAGTACTGGGGTTTGAACTCAGGCCCTTGAGCTAACAACAATAAGAGCTGGCACATGAACTGCAGGCCAATTCCCCGTTTCTGAGGATCAGGAAGGAAACTCTGGGCTTCCATTCTGCCAGTCTGAGCTTTAGTCTCAAGTGCCCTCACCTGGAGGCAGGGACTGCTTCAGCTTCTCTGCCTTCTCCTTGTCTGTGATGACCAGGGTGTACAGGTATCTGCTGCAGCGCACCTTGAACTTCACATTGTCTTTGTTTTTCTTGATCTTGACAGCTGTAAGAACAGAGCAGTTAAGAATGCTACAGAAGCACGCAGGCTCCTGTTCCTCATGTGTATAGCATCACCTGACCACACTGCTGAGTGGCAACCACGAATAGAGTTGTGTGAGCCTACCTCACCACACTGCCTCTTACCTCCCAAAGGCAGAAATCTCTCAGTACTCAAGAGCCTGGGAGCTACTTCATCTGAACTGCCGTGTATCTAAGACAGGTATTTGTCACACTGAGTATCACCACTGAGAACATTGTGTTAATTGCATCAGAGAGCTTTTCAGGGGCCGAGAATGTAGCTTAGTGGTAGAGTGCTTGCCTAGTATTCATGAAGCTCTGGGTTTGATTCCTCAGTACTACATAAACAGAAAAGCCAAAGTGGCACTGTGGTTCAAGTGGTACAGTGCTAGTCTTGAGCAAAAAGCAGCTCAGGGGCAGTGCCCAGGCCCCGACTTCAAGCTCCATGACTGGCCAAAAAAAAGAAAAAAAGAGTTTTCCTGAACTCCATTCCTGAAAACTACACAATGACTTTGGGGAAGTCCTTCCTTCGGGAGGCCCCTTCTGACTAGGCATAGCATACAAGAGCCTCCCTTAACCTGTTTCCTGGCTTTCTTACTGTTTCTGGTTCTCTAGGAATCACAGCTCAGACAGGAGCCAAGCACACATCATATCCAGCAGTGCAGTCAGAACCATAAGCAGAGCATGATCTGTAGAGCAGGTGCCAAGGTGCTGTCATCCCCAGCAGCAAAGTGGCTGCTGGCATACAACTTCCCAGAGTGAGCTGGCCATTGCACGTGTGGGTCAAGTACCATGTTCCAATTACCTTCGAAGTCACTTACACTTCCAACAATTCACTGCTATAGAAGCAGGGAGGTGCTGGTGCTGAGAGCCAACACAAGGTTAACTGAAGTCTCATCCTCCAAGTCTACTTCAGCTTGTGCAGGAAGTGGAGGCACTAGGGTCCGGGGCTGGGCAAGGGCAGCAGTTGCCCTGATGCATTTCTGTGGAATCACCCTGTACTAGGGCTTGAATGCAGGGCCTCTCCCTCTCATGAACAAGAAAGTGGTGCTAACCATGCCCCCAGTCCCGCTCTTTTGTTGGTGACTGATACTACAGACCTCAGTAGATTAGGATTATCAGCCTAAGCCACCAGTGCCCGATGCTCTGGCCTTATTTTTAATAACTCAGAACACCTGGCTATCCATACCCTTTCAGCACCCTAGGTATACTGTATTGCTCTACAGATAGCTGTAAAGAAAATTAGTAGGTAAGCACTCTATCACTTGAGCCATTTTGCCTTGGCTAGCCTAGATTCCAACCCTCCAATTTATCCTGCCTGCGGTAAGCTGGGATGACAGGGGCATGCAATCTGGTGCCCAGCCCCAAACCAATTCTAAGACATTATGTTTCAAAATGGCCAGGATGGTAGATTTTATTCAATTTAAAGTGGAAGACCCCCAGCTTATTGTGACCAATTAATGAATACCTCACACCCAGGGGGTTGTGACCCCACCCTTATAAGACACATCACCTAATCAATTCTTTCTTTTTCTTTTTGGGTCCGGTCTTGGGGCCTGAACTCGGCCTGGGTGCTGTCCCTCAGCTCTTCAGCTCAAGGCTAGCGCTCTACCACTTGAACCACAGCACCACTTCTAGCTTTTTTTCTTTTTGCTTATGTGGTGCTGAGGAATCCAACTCAGGGTCTCAGGCATGCAAGGCAAGTGCTCTACCACTGAGCCACCTTCCCAGCCCCATACACTTAATCATTTCTTAACCTGTCAGGGAATGCTTGTGGACTTCGACAGAGGACAACCAGACTGAAGGAGAATGACATCCTCTTTATGGCGTAGCCATGTGCCAACACCCTTCCCCTTGTGTCCTCCCCCTCAGAGCCCACGGGCACACCCTGCCACCAGTTCATACAGCACCATGGAGTCAAAACCCCTCTCTTTTGGTATGGGGGCCTAAATATAAAGCATTTCCTATCCACCCTCTGGTTGTCACTGCCCCATGGTATAGATGGTTGACCTGAACACCTCAGCTCAACTTAGTTACACCTCCATGAATTATGTGGGTCTTCATGGGCCTCAAGTAACACAACGTATATAAACCCAAGACCTGTTATCAGCAACTCCCTCCCTTGTATGGTATAAAATCTTGAGAACAGAAAACCACCTGCTCCCTTTCGGTGTGATTCCTCACCTCTTTATTTACAAAGCGGACAATATAGCAAGACAATAGACTACTTAAGATGATACCTATGCACAGACAGCGCTAAACTGATTTCTATGCTGTGAAACCCTGATCCGGGGTGGCGTGTGAGGGGAGGTAATGGCTCAAATGACGGAGCACTCATTTAGCCAAGTCTCGAGTTCAAACCTCAGTGCTGCTCCCCAAGACAAAACATACTAGCCTCTGTGGTTTCATGCCTGTAACCTCAGCCCTCAGGAGGGTCAAGAGGGAGGATCGGGAGTTTCAGGATAGCCTGGCCTGTCCCGAAAAATCCCCCCCAAAAAAACTTCTAAGAGGTCCCTCTTTTCCAGCACATAGAACAAAACCCCGCGACCCTCACAGCCAGTAAGGAAGACGGCCCTACAAACTCTTCGCCCCTGGGCTCGGCCCTTTGGGAGGAGAAATGACAGCCAGGCCCGTGCTCCCGGCCCGGCCCGCGGGGCCCAGCATGCTCACCCCACCCGGCTCGGCCCGCGCCCGCCATCGCTTACATTTGGCATCCTTCCTCCTGGCCGTGAGCAGGAAATCTTTGATCTCTTCGATTTTGCGAGGCTGCAACAACAGAGGAGTTGGATCTCGGGCAGACCCTGCGCGCGCTCGCCCGGCGGGGCCCGCGCCCCCCGGGATGACCATTCCCACCCTCCACCCCGCAAGGATGGTCCCGGGCCGAGGCCCAACTCACCATGGCGACGCGCGGCGCGGGCCGGAGCCTGAAAGCAGACCTGGGTGTTACAAGCGCGTAGCGCGCCCCTGCCCCCTCCTTCCTCCGCAATCTCCGGGCCGCCGCACCCCCGCCCTTCCCCCGCGCACCCTCGAGGCCAGCCCGGGACTCCCGAACCCCACCCGGCCGAGGATTGCCCCGGATCGGCCCCTCGGCGCCGCGCACCAGCACAGACACTCACAGCAAGCGGCAGGAGCCAAAGAGACCGGAAGAGAGCGGGACTTCCGCTTCCGGGTAGTTAAACCCTCCCGGCGGAGGACCCGGGATCCGTACGGTGTCCGCCAAGGGCCAAGAGTCATCCACGCGTTTTGGTTCAGCCGCCCTGCCCCCTTTCTGGTCGCGGTTAGTAATTACAGCTCCATCAAGTATGGAACCTCTTCCCCTCCCTCCCCTTTCCTCCTTTTCCCACCCCCTCATCCATCTTCTTTTCACACTCCACCATTTCTTTTCTTGTCCCTGAAATCCTCCAAACCCTTGCTTGGCGTTTCTAGGTAGTATTTGAGATTCATGAGACCTGTCCATTGGGGCGTCTATGCAGGCATTTTCTTCATTTAATGGAAGGTACTCTAAGCACCTCTCTCCTGCTGCTCTTCCAGTTGGAGAACATCTAATGTCAGCAGTAGGGTCTCCCCAGTTCTCTGTTCAGCCAAGGGCGCCTTCCTACTTCCCGCTCCCATTCCTTCAGGAATTGGAATAAAGTGAAATCAAGTTACTGCTTCCGGTAGGGCTTTACCCATATGCCTACTCAAGTAACAGGAGGCTTTCTTTACTGTTCCCTGCAGTACCTTACCCAAGCCAGGACATGAGGGCCAGGTTCCCCAGCCTAGCTCCCACCACCCACCTCTCCTTCATGACCCAGGAAAGTAGGGGTAGCTTTGGGAAGGCTCTTCCAGCTCCCATCCTGGGCCTGTCGTAAATTTCTGGGCACACAGATGTCCTCGTTCTTGAGTAATATCCTTTAAGGTAAGCTCCAGGAAACCTGTGGTTATCGGTGTTATTTTTATCCTCCACTTTTATTTTCAATCCCTACCAACATCTATATTTTATTATATTTGTTTTCCCCAAATTTAATAACCACACAGCAGAATGCAATTACCTTGGACTTATTACATAGTAGTCCTCCTAAGGAGAAAGAGCACTTTGCTATGAACTTGACCTCCTCTTTTTCCGCTCTGATGAGGGAGCCCAGGCTGAGCTCCTTCTAGGAGGCTGGCAACATAAAGAAGAATAAAGGAAGAATTCTTTGCTACAGAGATGTTTTTTTTTGAAAATGCTCTAATTGTGCTAGAGTGTCTTTGAAAGAAGCACAACCACATTTCTGCAACCATAAAAGTGTCTGATGGTGGCTGCAGGAAAAGCTAATAGGGAGAAACTTCACTTTAAATGTTTGGAGGTCTGAAATTTGAGAACCATGGTTCTTGGGTATTTCAGTCCTGGTCAGGGGACATCCCTGAATTTCTCAGCCTGACTCCTCCCAACTCAAGGCCATTCTTGTCTTTTCTGTCCTGCACATTGTCTTTCAGCCAGTCCAAGGGCCTTTCAATGTCCTGGGTGCCTTCTGTCCTCTCTAATACGAACGGTCCTTCACAGCTTAGCTCTGCCTCTGCCATCAGGCACCTCTGACCTGACTGTCACTTGTTGATCCTGATGAGCACTTTCCCAAGGGCTCTGCATTAATCCCTTTATACATTTGCATTGACTCTACTTTGAGGGCAAAGGTCAAGGTTGAGCATCTGTCAGTAGGTTTCAAAGGCAATAGTATTGAGTACACAGTAGGTGCTTAATGGTGGATGAGGCATCTGGGAGCACTCTGAATGTAGGGCCAGATGAAGGGAGGGACCATGGGATGGAGGGATAGAGGGAGGAAAGAATGGGTGGAGAGAGGACCCAGAGGAAGGATGGAGTGGAGGATTAATATACTCAAAGCAGGGCCTTGCATGGGGTAGGTGCTAGGAAGTTATTTGTTTAGTGAATGGCTGGCATATCTTCTCACTGCTGGCACAGGGTTGGGGTAGGAGGGAGAAGCTGCGCTTCCTTTTTGGCAACGATCCAGGAAGACAGATGTTGGCTACTTGAATCATATAATTTAAGAGAGCACAAATATACAATACCAAACCCAAAGGCACATTTGTTCAAGTATCCAAGGTCTTGAACAAGATCCAGGGGGGGAACAAATAGTAAAATAAACTGCAGCTACTGAAACGCAGAGCAGGGCGTCCAGAGGGAAGGGCTCTGCAGTAACAGGAGCTTTGAAGGTTTGGACTGTGAAAGGCTGGAGGTCCTGGGGATGGCTGGGGGTGGGCAGTACCATTGACCGTGGAGCCTAGGAGGAGGGTCTTTGCAGGGTGGTCAGAGGCAGGAGCTGGATGTGGAGAGAAGGGGAGGCCTGGATCCATGGGATGAATTCCAGTCTTGGTCTCCTTCAGGTCTTCCATTAGTCTGCCTGGCTCAGGCTTAGCCCTGGTGGGAGCTGGGGCAGGGCAGGGCAGGACAGGTACCAGAAAGCACACATCTCCTGTCTGCTCCAGCAGGAATCAACTTGGCTGCCTAGAAGCCCATCAACTTGAATTTCTTTATTTTTGTTTTTTTTTGGTCAGTCATGGGACTTGAACTCTGGGCCTGAGCACTGTCCCTCAGCTCTTCAGCTCAAGGTGAGCGCTCTACCACTTGAGCTACAGCGCCACTTCCGGTTTTTCTGGTGGTTTATTGGAGATAAGAGTCTCATGGAGTTTCCTACCCGGGCTGGCTTTGAACCGTGATCCTCAGATCTCAGCCTCCTGAATAACTAGGATTATAGGCGTGGGCCACCAGTGCCCAGCGGATTCCTTTATTCTTAATGGCCCATGGACCTGTTAGAAACCAAGAATGGTACCCATGGGTGGCTAATGTGGGACACACATGAACCAAAGGGGCCTTGAGGCTGCTGTGATCTGAGAGCAAAGTGTGGTCCAGAGGTCAGTGGACATAATTCCTCCTGAGGGAGTCATGGAAGGCTTCCTGAGGGGTGAGTAGAAGTTTGCCAGGAAAGGTGGATGATAGAAGTGAGCAGCTTCCAATCAGAAGGAGGAAGGAAGAGATGTTTGCCCACAGTCAGGAGAACGCAGTGCATTCTGGGATGGTGTGAAGTTCTATGTGGTAGGAGCACAGGCAACTAGGGTCTGGGGTGGGTAGAGGAAAGGCTGAGAGGCTTTAGGCAGATGCCTAAGACCCCAGGAGTGGGAGAGAGAGAGGAGAGAGAGAAAGAGAGACAGAGAGACAGAGACAGAGAGGAGAGACAGAGAGAGACAGAGATGGAGACACAGACAGATAGACAGACAGACAGACAGACAGACAGACACACACACACACACACACACGGGGCGGGGCTGTGAGGGGGGAGAGTAGGGGGGGGAGATATGAACCAAGGTCCATCCATGGCTTCCCTCCCTGGGCTATTGGGGACCCTGGGTGCAGTGGCTAAAACTGGCCACCAGGTGGTGCACAGACCTGAATGGGAGGTGGGAAGGGACGCAACCAGCCTTGTGCTGGAAACTGGAAATCTCAGGCTAAGCAATACATACATACAAATTATAAATGCCATTTGATGGCATTTCATGCCTGGCAGTCCCAGCTGCCACCGCCCTTAATCTCCAGGAGTTCCACACCTCTGGCTGTCAGCAGGCTGGCCTTTGTGCCCACTCCCCAGGAGTCAAACCTCATGGTCAGGGTGGGGCAGGTGGAGGAAGAATACAAGGTGTAGGAAAGGGGTTCATGATTTTATGTTGAGTTGACACAGGGAATCTCCTTTCTTCAGCCCTCTAAAAGACAGGGCCCTTAGGTGGCCCTGAGGAGCAGACAGGCTTAAGCTTCTTTCAGACATGGAGCTAAATGCCAGAACCTGGCCATAGGGCTGCAACAGGGTTGATCAGAGCAGAACTGACTGTCCCTTCTTGGACCAGATCATGCTGTTTGGGGGCTTAGGATAGGGCTCCTTTGACCAGTGTAGGATTTTTAAAAAATATGTGTGCTCATATGGGTTTGAACTCAGAGCCTTGTGCTTGCTTGGTAGGTACTCTACCACCCAAGTTATGCCTCCAAGTAGCTTTTTGCTGGTTAATTGGAGAGAGAGTGTGGCAGACTATTCTGCCTGTGCTGGCCTTGGACTGCAATCCTCCAGGTCTCAGCCTCCTGAGTAGCTAGGATTACAGGCGTGTTCCATTTACACCTGGCTTTTTTGTTTTGTTTCCCTGGGGGCTGGCATCACGCATGCTAGGCAAGCAGGCTACCACTGGGGTACATTTCCAGAGGGTTTCTCAGTTCTCTGCCTGTGGCCAGCTTGCTTCTGGGCCTAGCACTGTCTTTGTAATCTGCTTGTCCTATTTGTGTTTAGATTAAGGGTTCAAAAGCTTTTTCTGGGGTGCTCAGAGGATTACCATACTGGGTGCTACCTTGTACTCAGGGCTCTGTACTACTAAGTTTGGTGTGATGATTTATAGTCACCAGAGTAGCATCCATACCTGGGGACAGCCAGGATGCTGTCCTCAACCTAGAGTGTGGCTGCAAACCTTGTATTGGGGAGAGGGGGGCAGGACAAGACCAGGGAGGAAAAACACTTAGTCTACCTTTCAGAGTTGTGAAACACCCTACCCCTTAGGTTCTCAGTGGGTTCAGAGCTCATGCTGAGTGCCTTCTCCCCCTCAACATCCATCCATCCATCCATCCATCCATCCATCCATCCATCCATCATCCATCCATTCAGAGCAATTTGGTGTGGCTTCAGCTCAGTGCTAGGCTCTGGGCATGGGCTAAAGAAATGGAAACACAAAAGCCGGGTGCCTGTGGCTCATGCCTGTAATCCTAGCTACTCAGGATTGCAGTTCAAAGTCAGCCCAGGCAGGAAAGTCTGTGAAAATCTTATCTTCAATTAACCACCAAAAAACAGGAAGTGGTGCTGTGGCTCAAGTGGTAGAGCATTCACCTTGAGCTGAAGAGCTGAGGGACAGCGCCCATGGGCAGAGTTCAAGCCCCACAACCACCACCACCACCAACAACAAAAGAAATGAAAACACAATTCTATCTTTATCTTAGGGAACTCACAATGACAAGGCCTGTAGTGGGGCAGGAAAGGCTCCATCTGGGTGGAGGACTAGAGGGTGGGGGCCAGGTGAGGCTGAGTAGAACATGGATTTGTCTTAAGAATCCACTTAGCATCTCCAGACAAAGTGCCAGAACATGCCACCCTCATGCCTAGGATATTCC